TCACTCAAGAGTCTCCATGTTATATTACATTTGACGTTGAGCGCCCTCTTGCGTTTTTTTGACCTAAAAATGCATTCTGCGTGAATTGCTCCTTTAGACTCATTTATTAGATGTATGTGGTCAGAAGTTTATAAGTGAAAGGTTTCTTCTTTCTTAATACTAAGAAGAACCTTGACCTTCCAACTCCACACAACACATAGGGCGTTCAAGCCAACCTGAGAAAGTAGTGTCTGGTAAATATATGTGATTATTTCACTACAGGGTGTCACTAAACAAAGTGACAGTGAAGGCTTGTGTGAAACGTGATGAAGCTCATTCATCTAGATTAACACAATCATTCCATTATTTAATTGTTAAACCACGGTAACCAGAAATGAAGCAAAGTTTTGCTACACCATAGTTTAACCATGGTGTCTGTAGTAAAACTGTGGTTATACAAAAAAAAAAGAAGAAGCAATCAGAAAAAAATATTTGTGATACGCGCTCTAAAGTCTTCTAATAATTGTAACAATTATTTTTTTTTAAATTGTTGGGGAAGTCGTGGCCTAATGGTTAGAGAGTCGGACTCGTAACCCAAAGGTTGGGAGTTCGAGTCTCCGGTCCGGCAGGGATTGTAGGTGGGGGGAGTGAATAACCAGCGCTCTCTTCCACCTTCAATACCACGACTGAGGTGCCCTTGAGCAAGGCACCGAACCCCCAACTGCTCCCCGGGCGCTGCAGCATAAATGGCTGCCCACTGCTCCGGGTGTGTGTTCACGGTGTGTGTGTTCATTGCTGTGTGTGCGCACTTAGGATGGGTTAAATGCAGAGCACTAATTCCTAGTATGGGTAACCATACTTGGCCACATGTCACTTCACTTCACTCACTTAAATCAGAGTCAAAAATTCACAAAAGCTCACAATGTAATTTGTTTGAAAAATATCTATAAAAACATTTATTATGAAGCCATAAAAATGTCAAATGTGGTTAGTGTCAGATTAAGTATTTTACACATCATTCACATGGGCAAACAAAAAACAAAAAAACATAATAATTAAAAAAAACACATTATTTTCCCCAGTCTTAATACAATCTCTAAAGCTCAAACAGGAGCAGCTTTAGTTTCAGTTGTGATGTGATTCTCATCTGGAGTAAAAGTGTTTCCATTTCTATGACATTATTGTCCTCTCTGCCAGTGTAATCTTGATCAGTTTGAATCTACTATAAATCTTGACAGATTAATTCATATGGAAGGTCATAAAATTATAAAAGTGGTCAGTGCAAAGACGAAAGTCTCTGATATCACATCATCATCGGTGACAGATGAAGTATTTTTACACATCCTTCATGCTCGCTCTATATATGTCACTTGTGGAGTCTAAGTGAACGACGTCCAAACAGCATAAACACGTGACACTAGAAGTGTGTAAAAAAAAAAAAAAGCAGGCATTAGTTGGGTTAAAGCTACAGTAACATTTTCTAATAATAACTATGAACAGGAGAAATCAACCATGCATCATTCAAAAAGGCAAACCCCGGGGAATCACCAGAGATTATTCATCTGTTATTTATGTGTCCATCTGTTCTGATAAATTGTCGTGTATCTGTGCCAGTGTCTCGAATCACATTCATCTGCGCAGAGAAGCAGAGCCGAAGCGCAACCGAAACAGAGGGCCTGTCCAAATACCCACACTTGTGGTCTTTGTACTTGAGCACTTGTCTACTTACATGATGTGTTTCCTGTATTAGGCATAAGTGAGCGTGAAGATGACAAGTGTGTGTAAAACTTTCCATTACTTGATTGGACACACTCACAACATATAGTGTTGCAAAAATGCAAGTTTTTACAGAGCTTTATTTTGATTTTGAACACTTTGCATTTTAAAATAAACTTCTAAATGTCTGTTCAATAGTCAAGTTTTGACATTGTAATCTTGTTAAATATGAATCTATTTTAAATGTTACTGTTATTCTCTCATGTTTTCCAGCTCCTTAAATATGTTTATTTACTGAGCTGATCTCTGTCTTTTGTTGTAGTGCAGACTGACACATTCATTCACAATAATGACTGACTGTCATCTTTAGCTGTTACAACACCAGACCCACAGACTCCATTACAGTCTACAGCTCCTTCTACGTCACGTCCTCCAGTCTCAGTATCTCTGATATTTGTGCTGAATTCTGCTGTTGCTGCTGCTGGATCTCTGGTGATTGTGGCTGTAATTGGGATGTTTTTTATCTACAGGAAACACAGAGACTCAGGTCAAGTGAATCTACAGCTCACACATCTGTAAAAACAGTGAGTCTTATTTGTGAATCAAGAATATTCTCCATGTTTTGATGAACATGTTTGTCCTTACAGTTCATGAAGACGAGACTCAAGCTGCTGCAAAACTCTACAAACACACTGGACGATTTAAGGTAAGAGTCTCTGTGTCGTTTCAATGACATTTACATTTATTTTTTGACATTGACATTGTTGGTACTGACCTACCATCACTTGATCACCTTTATAAAACCCGCTGTTTGAGAAGGGCGAATAATATCATTAAGGACATCACTCACCCTAACCATAGCTTGTTTCAGCTCATCCCATCTAGAAGGCGATTCCAATCTATCCGGGTACGCACAAATAGACTCAAAAAGAAAGTTTTTTTTTTCAAACAGCAATAATTTTGATCAACTCTGGTATCTGTCTGATCATGTAAAATAAGCTATGTCCACAATGTGTGACTTACTGCTCAATAATAAGTTCAATTATAATGCTGCTATTATAACAGTGTTGGCTATTCTTGTACTAACACTGTATCTGACATTTTGCCATATTCTGAGTAATTTTAAATATTTTATAATCATTTCATCTTTTTTTATATACGATCATTATTGTATCACTATGATAATTATCCAGTTATTTATTATTAACTATTTCATAACTACATGGAACAAGGGGGAACAAAGCACCCCTTTAATTTACAGCCCGCAAATGTTGTATTTACCCTGTAGCTACATGAAACAAGGGGGGAACAAAGCGCCCCTTTAATTTACAGCCCGCAAATGTTGTATTTAACCTGTAACTACATGGAACAAGGGGGAACAAAGCACCACTTTAATTTACAGCCCGCAAATGTTGTATTTACCCTGTAACTACATGGAACAAGGGGG